ATGAGTTTTTGAAAATAATCGCTAATGGCTCAAATATCTCCTCAGTCAACTCTTTGAGTATTTTAGGATGTATTTAATCAGGTCCAAGTGACTTAAAGACATGTAACTTGTCTAAGTAATTTTTAACTTGTTCTCTCCCTATTTTGGCCTCAGATCCTGCCTTATTTTCACTGGTGTTCACTATATTAGCCTTTTTTGGTGAAAACTGATCATGGGCCACCGTGACAACAAAAAGTTGTCGTCAGACAGAATAGGATCTAAGGCTATAGTGTCTATGTTTTCAATGAGCACTAAGGTTTCATAATCATTAAGAAGATTACTCTGAGAAGTGAGTCTTCTAGTGAGAAATGTCTGCAATGTCAAAGCCAAATTTGACTTCTGCATAATCCATCCGTATGAAATCTATTATAAAGGCATACTGGTGTAATATCAGCATAAGAGGTGGCCTCAGCATCACAAAGATTTATTCCATTTTAACATGCTAGGACAGGGACTACCCTGAATGCCTATGAATCTGCTACCTTCTTTCTTGATCAATGTGGACAACACCTGTCACCCAGGCCCATCATTTGGGCATCCTCTTTGACTCCGGCTTCTTTCTAGGTTCTCACATACAGGGGATATATGTGTTATATATATGTTATGCAGAAAAAAAATCAACTATATATATATAACATATTTATATATAACATACATAACATCTTTAAGATATGCCCTTTCCTATCCATACACATAGAACTATACCTCTCATCCAAGTTCTTGACATCTCATGTCTTGATTACCGTAACATCTTTCTCTCTGGCTTTAACAAATGCAAGCTTACTTCACCTATATCCATTCAGAATGCTGCTGCAAAGGTCATTTTCCTACTGCATCACTTTGACCATATCACTCCACCGGCTCCCTCTTCTCTTTTGCATCAAACATGAGTTGCTTGTTTTCACTTTCAAGACCTTTCACAGTCAGTCCGCGTTCTATCTATCATATCTCATTTGCTGTTGAGCTGCCAGTGCTCACCTCTAATCAGCCGATGATGCTAGTCTCCATGGCTCCTTTGTTAAAATTTCAAAATTTTTCTCCCAATCTCCCTCTCATGTTTGGGAGGTGCTCCCCATAAAGCCACCTGATTATCCACGTGCAAATCCTTCCTCAAAACTTTCCTTTGCCATGATGCTTATTAAAAACTTCACTAGGTTTAGGCTGCTGGTGTGCAGAGACCAATGCCTGTCATGCTGACCAATACTGTCTCATTGTTTATATGTACTTCCCCATCTATTTATATCCATGAGTCATCTCTTGTCTTATATTTAGACTGTAAGACCGTCTAGGGTAGAGACTGTCTTCTTGTTCTGTGTTTCTACCACACCTATCACAAGGAGGTTTTAGTCCAGGTCTAGGGCTCTTAGGCACTGTGGAAATAAAAATGATAAATAATAGTAATAATGATATCATCAGTGGGGGGTCCTTTTCAGTACTATCTCTCCTCAAGTGGGTCATCAGTTCCAGGATCCCATTGTAACCATGCCTTAGTGTGTCACAACTGAGGATGCCAAATTCAGGATGAACTGCTGAAAAATAGGGCAAGCACAACTCAAAACTGGTGGTTATTCTTTTATGAGATATACCAAACCAGCCACAAAAGTAAACTCCTGTTTCACCACACTGGCTAACAAGAAAACATAAAGGCAGTTTCCTCAGGCATTCCAGGTCCTACCATCAAAAACAGTGGGTTCAGAGATGAGTGGTTCTTTACAACCAGTCTCATCAAATAATAGGTTCTTCTGATTCCAAAGGACCAGCTCTACACCCAGTCAATATATAGCTTAAATATTACACCAAAATCATGCTGATGCCAATCCTTTAATATCAAAATCTAAAGGTTTATTTATAAAAAGAAAGAAATGTGAGCGTTAAATGAATCAGTTACATACAGTAATGGCAAAATTCTTGGTTCAGGCTTGTAGCAGTGATGGAATAAACTTCTGGCTTAAGTCAAGTCTCTGGAGTACATCCACAGCTTGGATGGGTCATTCAGTCCTTTGGTCAGAGCTTCAGTTTGTAGCAAAGTTCCTCCGGGGTAGGAAGCAGGATTGAAGACATAATGGAGGTGTTTCCAGGGCCTTTCATAGCTTTTGCCATGTGGAGGGCATCCCATTGTTCTTACTGTGGAAAATTACAGCAATAAGATGGAGTTTGGAGTCACATGGGCAAGTCACATGTTCATGCTCAATTTCCCTCAGTCATTGCAAGAAGCAATTACCTACACTCTGGACAGCACATTTACATGACAGTCCACTCAGTGTAGATGGGCATCTCCCATGGTCCACTGTCAGTCAAGTGTTTCTTGATGGGCCACTTAATTTGAACAGTTCCTCCAAGATGTGCTGGCTAGCTACTTTGTGGGCATTACCCCAGGAGCAAACATTTGAAATCCAAGTATAGAGCCATTACTCATAATTTCAAATACAAAAATGATACATACATACAGATTGCATAATCATAACCATCAAATCATAACCTTTTCATAGACACCTCTCTCAACAACCTTTGTACAATATTCGCTGCAAATATATAACAGTGGTTTCAACAATGATCTATATGGTCATATTTTAATTAGATAATGTCACACCCATCCACAACTAAATGCTTATTAGGTACTGGAAGATAAGATCCAGAATTTTCTAACCTATGCCACTCAGGGCTCATTGGTTATTGCAGTGAGGGACAGGAAGAATTGATCCAAATTAGGTCATACGTTCTCATTGGAAAGGATGCCAAACATATTTGACTCCTTGGGACCAAGAGGGCATTTGTGTGGCTGCAACAGACATTACTTTCCAAAAAGTCTAGGAAACATGGCTTACAAGGGTATACAGTCTATACTTAGGCAGCTCTCTAAGAATTAAATGTATTATGGTAAATAATCATTTGTCTGGGTATTTAAAACCAATGAAGGAATCTAAAATTTTCTTTATCAATTTACTTAGTGAGCTAATGCCTCTATATAAAGAAAGTTCATCAGGGTGCAAGACTAATGCCAACACATGCAACAAAAACTAAAGCAGAGAAAGCTTATATTACATTTCTTTCATCAAGGCATGTACAAATTCATGCGTATAAAGCTGCGTTTTCTGGCACTTGTGTGTCTGATGGGAAAAAGATTAAATTTGTAATATGGAGTATGAATTCTGATGATGAGTCATCAGAATTCATACTCATATTACAAACTTTAATCCTTTTCCCATCAGACACACAAGTGCCAGACAACACAGATTTATACATGTGAGTTTGCACATGCCTTGATGAAAGAAGTGTAATATAAGTTTTCTCTGCCTTAGTTTTTCTTCATCTTTAATTATTTGTTTAGAGGTAATACCTTTCATTGGACTAACTAGAAAAAAAAAACCATTGTACAGACAAGTCGTTCAGGCATAAAAATCCCTTTCGTCTCGTCTTAAAATTCCTTCATTCTGTACCACTTTTAACTAAGCAGCCTCATTGTTGTCTCATTCACTTCCAAGAACAGGAATTGAGGAATGCAGAAAGGGTAAATTTGATTCTCCCCTTCTTCCCACCTCTTCATTAACTCACTCTTCCCAGTCAATTCTGTTCTATTAGTTAAATTCATCAGTAGATGTTGCATACAACCAGTTTGTTTTTTGTTTATTTGTTTTTATTTTATCTGTCAGGCTTCTATCAGACTAAGATTGCCACTATTATTTCTTAGGTTGTTCAAAATGAAAGATCACTGACATGTGGAAACTTCATCCATCCTGACTAAGTTAGCTTTGAAAAAAAGGAGCATTTTCTCAATGAGATGCATAGAGAAATTAGTTGCATAATTGTAATTAACATACAGTTCAATACCATTTAATTTTTGTGTATGGTCCTATGTACATGTCAAAAACACTTTACAGAAATAGCACATTATCCTAGAGGAAATAATGTTGAGATTTCCAGAAAAATGAGGGAGCAGGAAAAAATGTTAATGGAGTGAAAGAGTTGAGATAAATGTGACTTTTCACAAGAATGAGGACCTCAGTCATAGCTACCAGCTAAGCGAATCAAGATAAGAAGATGGGCAAGATACAGAGGGATTTAGATTTGTGTGTAATTTGCCTGAAGGTATTAAAGCAAGATTAAAGCAAGCAATGAAATGTCAGAGGACCAAAGTCAGAAGTTTAAATGATTCCATAATGGAAGATGTAAACAGATGATTTTAAGCTTCCAACAGGAATTTCAATAGATCCATTAAAGCGGTGGAATTTAAACTACTAAATGAAGGTACAGGTGATCAAATTGTTTTGTGACAAGCTGAAGAAGAATAGCAATCTATAACCTTGAAAGCTGTACTGAGATCAGATATAATAAGGGAGAGGAGTGAGTTATTAAATACCTTGAGAAGGGTGCCCTCTGCAATGTAAAAGGTGCCCAGCTAGTTTGAGAGCAGTCAAGATTGTTGTGCTGCAAGTGTTACTCAGAAAAGTGAGAGAAGATCCACTTTCTCCATATCCTTTCTCAGGGGCAGATTGTGAACTGTCGTGAATTGATGAGCAGTTACTTGCACAAGTATTTTGATTTACTTCAGTGGGACTACTCACAAATGTGACTAAGAGCTTTGCAACCTAACCTTACCTTAAGTAAAGGGGAGTAGGCAAGTAAGAAACGGTGAAGTGTAGGTTTTCTATGAGATGGTGATAATGACAGTTTTGAGCATGCCATAGAGAGATCCCTTGGAGATGTTGATAATACTCTGACTTTTTAATCTTCACAATTGATTACAAATGTTTATTAATGATAACGGAGAGATATTAGAGACGAGTAGGAAGGAAGGAGACGAAATAAGACTGGAGGAGAGTCTGGTGAGGAAGTGTTTTGTTCACAGCTGGAATGAGGGGATGAAGTCCTTGGAAGTTCATGTTCAGATGAATGCTAGAACAGTGGACTGATAATTTTAATCCAAGTATGTATTATCTTATGATGAGTGCTTTTCCCCCTAGATATCAATGAATGCATGATATTTGGCACCTGTTCACATCAATGTACTAATGTTAAAGGATCATACAAATGTATATGTGAGAGAAATTATAAGGAAAAGAATAACAGCTGCATAGCAAAAGGTAAGGCTACAAAAATTATACTAATTAATAATAATCAGTTAATTGCTTACATCATTATTTACATATTTAATGGCTACTACTGTATTTTGACTTTATAATTCATGTTAAGAAAAATGAGTCAAATAGTTCAAACAATGTAGATTTACTTGTGATCATCAAGAAAGCAGTCTTTCCAAGTATACATAAGCAAATTGTCTCTTTGCCTGATTGCTTTTTACATTTCTACCACTACAATTTCTCCTGTTTAAATATGTCTTCCATAAAGGTTAAGACACATAATATTAATATTAAAACACAAATGACTGAAAAGTCAGATAAAGATTTTATTAAATAATGTAGGTATTTTGTTGAAGTTTTAGAAGCCTGAGAGCAGAATCAGATTTTTTTCATGGAAACGTTTTCTAATGTTTGGAGCAAATGACTGGGTATTTGGAGGCTTTCCCACTGGTTTGCTGAGCAACCTTGGACAAATCACCTAGGGCCCCAGAACTACAGGTATTTAGGCACCTAATTCACATAGGCACTTTTGAAAATCCCGCTAGGCACCCATATGCATCTTTAGGTGCCCAGGTACTTTTTGAAATCTGACCTTAATCTCTCTGTGCCTTAGTATGCCGAACTGGAAGTGGGACAATAATATTTACCCACTGTGGCATAATGCTTTGAAGTAATATATAAATGCAAAGTGAATACATATGCATATATTATTATTGTTGGCAAAATGCTAGTGGCTAATGGACTGTGTTAAGGAGTTTTATGCTCCTCCACATTATATAACATTTAGGGGGTCAATTTTCATTGACTTAAAAGAAAAACAAGCAATAATCCACTGCCGGAATGAAATAATTTAAATTTCTATTCTCTATTAAAATGTCATTTTTCAATTGTTGGATACATGAAAGTATGTCCACAGTACTTCCATAGTAGTTCCTAACAATCCTACAGTGGAGGTGAGGTTATAGTGTATTGTGGGTGGCAACAGTCAACACCATATGAACACTGAATGCCCCATTTCTCCTCACGGTGACCTGTCACAGAAGGATGACTTTCCTGAGTCAATATTAATTTGCTCTACAGGTAAAAAGAACTCTATCAGGGTTCATAATCTCCACTGAGGAACCAATAAGATCAAGATAAAGGATCTTGAGCACACCCTGCTGCTGCTGATGGGCAGCTACTTGTAATCAAGGGTGACACAGAAGAATTTAACATTAGGCTTATAATTTAATAATTACCTTTATCTATTGATCCTTAGTCTTCATACAAGTTTTTGGTCACACTCATTACCCTGTCTGTCAATGCACCATTCTGACGGATTGCACATAACTGCATGGCCACTATTTCTGTTACTATTTCCTGTGACATTAGCAATAGTGGGGGAGCAAATGGCCTTGAATATCTTATATCCATAAGGCATGAAATCTTGGATGGTAGTTACTGTAAATCATGTATTGTGGACAAATATGATCTAAATTTTAAAATAAAGCAACGACCATTAGTGTGCTATTTATATATCCAATAATTATATATTTTTCTCAAACTTCACTTATAGATTTCAGAGAATACTATTATATAGATAATTAATGGTACCTGGGCATTTCAGATAGGTAATAACTGAGGTATCTCAGAGACCGCTATGAGTAAATGCTGAATTTAATGTTGAATATAGTTCATAACACTGCTCCGTTTGTGTTCCTGTTGAAGTCAGTTTCTAAACTCTGTTAACTTCAATGGAAACAGGATCGTTACCCTTTCTTAATTTGTAGAGCAAGTTCAAATAATGCATATGAAATCTTGGCATGTAAAAATTGCCTTTAATGTATGTATGTTCATTTAAGAAATTTTAAAAGTACATAATGAATATGAAAATGGGATATATGAAGTAGTGAGTATTAAAATTATATTTTTATGTTTGCACAAACTCCCCTACCATTTATATGTTGCTCATGGTTTTTAATCAATAAACTCCTTGAGGCAAGGACTGTGTATTGGCATCATCTAGCACACTGCAGGCACTAACAGAGTATTACTACTTCTACTACTTCTAATAGTGTGATAGTGTTTATAAGGCTGGGCAAACGCAAATCAAGTTCCCTTGTTAACATTAAGAAATTATACCAAATAAACAAAAAAAATCGATACAAATGAAAAAATATTGATTTTTTTACTAGGCGTTAGTTGAAATTCACTTTATTTTTGTATTTCATTATAATAATCCCCAGGCTCTGAAGATCAAGTTCTCTACATTGCTAATGACACTGATATCCTGGGTTTTATATATCCATTCAACTACAGTGATGTTCATCAACAAATTTCACATGTTGAACATAATTCAAGGATAACTGGGATGGATGTATATTATCAAGGTGATATGATTATTTGGAGTACTCAGTTTAATCCAGGAGGTATTTTCTACAGAAAGCTCCATGGCAGAGAAAGAAGACAAAGTAATAGTGGTTTGATCGTAAGTAAACCAACCTGAAAATTGCAAGATACAAATCTTTGCTTATTTACTTATTTCTCCTTTCCAATGATATATATCCATTTTGTCTAGGTTGGTGAAAATATTAAATTTATGCAGATGCATATGATATATGAAATAAGTTTTACTTGATCAGGGCTTTATTTGAATAATATGTGCTTCAAAATAAATCACTAGTACCTTCCTTACTTATAAACTCTACGGGACAGTAACATTCTGGAGAGGGCTTTGAAGGGTTTTCTGGAGCCCCTGGCTATAATTCTGCCATGAAAATGAAGGTTGTTATGCTTTACTTGTCTGTGATTGAGATCACCCCCTCTCTGGGTACCACTTAGTTAGATGATTTATCTTGTAGATGATAAAAGTACTTGCAGAGCAAAATTGAAGTAAAGTGCATTTAATATTAGCTTGCCAAGTGGTAGTACGTCCTCCCTTAATTATAGTTATGAAAATCAATTTCATTTAAACAGGAAAACAAATAAATTGCTTCTCCCCTCTCCTATACCTTTTCTCTGCAAACACGTATATTCCCCCGGTACATGAAGCTTATTACTGACTAATGGAGATAATTTTTGTTAAACTATTGGCAGCACATCGCTAATACAGGCAGTTGAGATGTGATCTAGCTGTAACTTAATAGGTGAGTGTGCACGTGTGAGTGAGTGAGAGAGCTTTCAGTGGACTGAAGGACGGAGACCTTGACATAGTAAGCATTATTGAAAAAATATAAAATGACAAAAAATGGAGGAATGTTATAAACTGGTGTACTTCCAACAATTCTGAAGGAATTTAAGAGCTGATAACAAATAACAGGCAACCTCTCGTTAAAATCAGTTACTGTACCTGAGAACTGGAAGATAACACGTGTACTTACTGCAAGCCAGATCGTCAGCTGCTGTTAATCACCATAACTCAACCTTTAATAAAGACCTAAGGGGCAATCCAGGAATGCTGACAGAAACAATCGTTAAAAATGAGGGAGAAACCACCACTTCTTTGTGAAGGAAAACTATAGAAATCTAATCTCTTAGAATTCTTTGATCATGTAAACAAAGTTGTAGATAAAGGAGAACCACGTGACATAATTTATTTAGACTTTCAAAAAGCCTTTGACAAAGCCCCACACAACAGGTTATTAAGGAAACTAAGTGATAGGAGAGGTAAAGTTCTGTCATGGATTATAAACTGGCTAAAACACAGAAAATAAACAGTCAGAATAAATTGTCAATTTCCTTGTGCATCTTTAAATTGCTCACCATTTAAACTTGCTAATAGGACCTTATTGAGTTGATAAAGTGTTTTACTATCACCTCTTTTAGAGCCACTCCAGATTCTTTGATCCATGTATTTCCTCTTGTCTCTTCTCAGGCTATTTTTCACTGCTTTTTCCTTTTTTAATACAGATTTTTTTTTAACTGGTTCTTTTTCTGGGGATGTTTTTGAGTAGCTAATGTTTGCTTTGGTTTGTTTCCTTCTTTCACACAATTCCACCTATCCTCACTTATCCAGATTTTAGGTGTGCTTATTTAGAAACCAATTAATGTTTCGGCATCTGTGATACTGTCATGGAGCTAGGATATGTCAATGTTATCTTGTAGCACCTAAAATCTGTTCTTCAGTTTAGTTTGAAATTGCTGTTGTAATATCTTGTCTATTAGCCATTGGCTGTCAATTTTCTTCATCTAGTCTGAAATGCTATATATCACAGGCTAATAGCACAATCCAGCCACCCCAACACTAACCCAACAAACAGAATTAAACCAAAGTATTACCATCCTCTGGAGACTAAACTATTCTGTGCACAGGCAGAAAACAGCAGGGACCGAGGTATCATCTCCAACCTTGGCACTGAAGTCCCCCATTACTAAAAAGATGTCATGCTTGGGAATATGGTCAGTCAGAGTTTGTAAGCAATAGAAAAATTGATCTTTGATCTCATCGTCTCGTTGTCATTTTCATGTATGGTATTTGAAACCTATCTTGGAGCAATTGTCTGTTAATTAACTTCTAGTGTATAAACTGTTTTTTCTATTTGGAAGTCTTAATTAATGATACTTTCTCTGAGTGCTAATCATTTTGTTTCTCTGAATATATTCTGACCGTTTCATTTTTGAATCACTTTTTATCAGCTCCTGGCCATCGATATTCACTTATTCCAAGGATTTCACGATTCTATTCATCCAGTTCTTTCAGCATCTGCACCGCTCTTGTTGTTGCAGCCATTGTTCTAATGTCCCATACATTCATAGTTTGTTTTTACCATTAATAAAGAATTTCTCAGAGACATGGTTTTCACTAAAACCCATTGTTTCTGCTGAGACTGAATCCATTTCGCATGCTGCTTGCCAGAATGGCTGCTTTGTTGCTTTTCTATAGCTTCACTTCCCTGTGAGGATAGCTTGTTGGCTTTTACGCTCAGTCTCCAACCTGGAGGACCAGAGGAATGCTTTTCATATTGTCCAGAACCTTTGACTTATCCAGCTTGGGTAACCTAACTAGGAGTTAAAATTCCCACTGACATAGCTCTCAGAGTCAATGAAGCACACAAGCTTTTGCACCACATCAAGGTGCAGACCCATGTAAGGGATGAATGGTTTGAAAAAGACAAATTTGACACCATTCTTTAATGAAGAATAAGGGGACGATCAGTGCAATGGAAAGGCAACAAATTTAAAACCGATAGCAACAGATGGTCCAATTGTCTGATCTGGTTTGGTTGTTCCTATATCACAAGTATTAAGGACTCTGTTATATTGGAATCCTGTTGCAAGACTAAGTGGATCCTTCTTATAACTTCCCTTCTAAAAGGAAGGAAGGACCCTATAATATACCCATGGGATATGATTTTTATGTATTTAAAAATGAAAAGAGTACATATTCAGGATTTCATATTTATTCCTTTCTTAATTTATATCTTTATATTGCTAACTGCCTAACTGGTGTTCTCAGGCAAAAAAAATAGCTTAATATTTGTAAACAGACCTAAATGTCACTTCATCCACCTCTGCAGAAATGCTGAGTTTTTTCTTAATGTATTTCAAATAGTTTTTAGTGGAAAGTAAAATGAATATTGATTGGATATTTTACCCCCCCCCAAAAAAGGAGCTTGGAACTGCATTAAGGACATTACCACCACTTCCGCTGAGGGTAATAATGTGACCTTTGTGCCTGTGTTTATGTAAGTGTTTCAAAATTAGATAATTGATTACATATTAAATATTATTTATTTTATTCTTTTAATTAGTATTAATTCCTGACACTTGTGTTCACATGATAGCTATGGACAACCTGAACATGGACTCCATAGTACCATATTCTCCTCTATACTATAAAATCCTACTAGCTGTCATTTAACTCTTACCAATCTGCAGGCTCCTCTAAGTATCCTTCCTCCAATTTCATTTCCCTGGAAAATGAATGTTTTTTCTCTTCTTACCTTCTGAGAGGGGAAGCCAAGTTGAGTTTATCTTGGCTGTCCATGAGGATAGTGAAGTGAAGGAGAGGTGGACAGATCCAGCTCTGCTATATGCTATGCCCCTCCTAAAAATTCAGGGAAGTTCCTCCACTGACTTTCTGGAGGTCAGGATCGCCATGGAAACTTGGGAGGCTAAGCCCAGTAGGTACATTCTATGCAAAAGTGGCAGATATCTATGCCTAATTAATACTACTAAAAACAGCTCTTCAGTCTCTCAAAAAGGTTTTTATTTGGACAGCATGGGGGAAGAGATTGGGTGTGTGATTTGGTGAATACTGGTAGGGTAGGAGCCCCACTATCTGTATCTGTGCTTAAAACTAAATAGACTCACCTCAACTTTGCTGATATTTTCTATTTGCTGCAGCATTTCTCTTATCCTTCCCTCTGCTTGCCTTACGTGGTATACTGAAAGCCACTAGTCAAGATGTATCTTCCCAAACTGCGCTCGTCATTCAAAGATTTTTTTTTTCAAATCAGTCAGTGAATCCCTAAAGAGACTGTAGGACCATAGACATCTCTGATAGACCTCTGTTATGTTTGTGAAGTACTCATCTCCCCCTGCTCTAACACATAACTGATCAGCAGGTTAATTAGTTTTCCAAGCAATCAATATCCCTTTAAAAAAGGGAAGAAGGAGGATCCTGGGAACTACAGGCCAGTCAGCCTCACTTCAGTCCCTGGAAAAATCATGGAGCAGGTCCTCAAAGAATCAATCCTGAAGCACTTACATGAGAGGAAAGTGATCAGGAACAGCCAGCATGGATTCACCAAGGGAAGGTCATGCCTGACTAATCTAATTGCCTTCTATGATGAGATTACTGGTTCTGTGGATGAAGGGAAAGCAGTGGATGTATTGTTTCTTGACTTTAGCAAAGCTTTTGACACAGTCTCCCACAGTATTCTTGTCAGCAAGTTAAGGAAGTATGGGCTGGATGAATGCACTACAAGGTGGGTAGAAAGCTGGCTAGATTGTCGGGCTCAACGGGTAGTGATCAATGGCTCATGTCTAGTTGGCAGCCGGTATCAAGTGGTGGCCCCAAGGGTCGGTCCTGGGGCGGTTTGTTCAATATCTTCATAAATGATCTGGAGGATGGTGTGGATTGCACTCTCAGCAAATTTGCGGATGATACTAAACTGGGAGGAGTGGTAGATACGCTGGAGGGGAGGGATAGGATACAGAAGGACCTAGACAAATTGGAGGATTGGGCCAAAGAAATCTGATGAGGTTCAATAAGGATAAGTGCAGGGTCCTGCACTTAGGACGGAAGAACCCAATGCACAGCTACAGACTAGGGACCGAATGTCTAGGCAGCAGTTCTGCGGAAAAGGACCTAGGGGTGACAGTGGACGAGAAGCTGGATATGAGTCAGCAGTGTGCCCTTGTTGCCAAGAAGGCCAATGGCATTTTGGGATGTATAAGTAGGGGCATAGCGAGCAGATCGAGGGACGTGATCGTTCCCCTCTATTCGACATTGGTGAGGCCTCATCTGGAGTACTGTGTCCAGTT